GGACACAGGCGAGAGCGTATCGGGAGATGGAGACCAACAAGACCTCCCTCATCCTCATTCATATAGCGGCATCTGGCTGTTTTTTTAAAGGTTACTTTATACTTTTATACTTTAAGTAGTTTTTGAAGCAAATACTTTTTCACTTTTACTTGAGTAAAGAGGTCTAGTTTATACTTCAACTTTAATCAGAGTGTTTTTAAACTGCAGTATCTATACTTCTACTTAAGTAACAAATGTGTGTACTTTTGAAACCACTGGATATAAAACAAAAAAAAACAAAAAAAAAAAAAACTGATGTTTAAACTGATGTTTAAAAGGAATTGTAGGAGACCAGCCAAGTCAAGGAAAGTGGGGAAATTTTGAATGGTTACTACTGTGTCTCTTGCCGTGACTCCAGGCCTGCCTCCTCACAGCTCTCTTTCATTTCCTTCTCATATTTGCCTTTTTGGGCATATTTAAAGTAGATCCATCTCAAGTTAGCAGCTATGACTCATTCTTAGGCTTTTCTCTGGAGTAGACTGCACGATTTATTGAAAAGCAATACTATAGCCAAAAGTTACACAACTCCATCCTATGCAGCTTCCGAATCCCATGTTAATGACAGAGATAGAACAGTAAAGGGCTGGTTATACTCCCGCAGCAGTGTGTCGCAGTAGCAGGAATGACGTAGATATTTTTGATTTATGCCCAATTTTGAAGCGTGGTCTGCGCTGTTATTCCATGCAACAACGCAAGAGGGACAATCAATGAGGCGGTGAGGAAGTGGGGGCATTTTTGTGCGACAACGGAGGGACATCAGGGTGAAAAGGAGCGGGGATCCAGGTGGAAAAAGGGTCCCAGCGTTCTCGCGCAGCTCGCTCTTCTAGCTGGTTCATCTTCACGAGTCGTTTCCCACAATGGCGGTCACACAAATAAAACAAGCCAGTAAGGTACAAAACAGGAAATACGCATAGAGTTGAGAGGATGTAGAATTGACCAATCAGAGGCCTCCTTTCTCCCCTCCCTGCGACGCTATGTGCGACACTGTCTGCAGTCACCTACAGTTTTGGGGAGGTGCACCAGAGTGTCTGCGGAAGGTGCATATCTGCGTTAACTGTTACGCACGTACAGACGACACGCACGTACAGCTTAATGGTCCCAAAATTTACCCTTGATGGACCCCTAGTTAATATGGAAGGTACAGTGATTTACTGTTAATCACCTGAACCCATTGCTTTCAGTCAGATAGATAAGATTCCACCCATCTGCAGCGAAGTTTACGATGATTCACGGCAAGAAATGGTGGTTATAGATCTCTACAGACAGCAGCAACACAACTACTTCTATGTGTTTCAAAGAAAAAACAGACAGCAATTTCTGTTGAATGGTGAGTTGTTGAAACATAACTGTTAGAGCCGTTTGAATCTATTTTTTGTGTAGTTGGAATCACTTGTAATTCCTGTTTATTCAAAGTCTGTGTGGGAGTTTTGGCTCTATGTGGTTGTTGTATTATTCTTTCGTTTGTGGTCCTGTAGTTTGTTTAATTGACCCAGGTGTTATCATCACATGCTCTTTATCATCCCGACTGTTCCTGATGATTTAGAAGGTGTTCATAATTTTTTTTCCAGATTAGCCTGGTTCTTCTTTATTATCCAACAGCCTAAAGTGTAAAAGGTTTATTAACTGATGTTTAATTTGAGGGCCTTCATCTATAGATGTTGGTTTATCTTTTGTATCATTGTATTAATTGTGTTTCTGATACTCATTGCTGATTGATTAGAAATGTCTCCCTCTGTGTGATTATCTTGTAATCAACAGTGAGAAGTGTTAAGGGAAATTTTACATGACTAGAAAATTCTCTTGCTTCTTTTCCAAATCATATATGTTTATTTTGGATGTGACTTCTTGTTATTACCTCATTTGGCAACTTATCGGTTTGGGTGTGTACGAATAAAGATCCAGTTTCAAACAAAATGGTGCCGTGACCAGGAGAAGACCTGAGGACAACTACTATGAGATTCTAGTAGAAACTAAATTGTGGTACTGTATGTCTTTACAGGAATTAAAGGAGAAGTCTGGTCATATTCAGAATTCAAACTTCTAAAAGTACTTTAAATCTGAAATTATAACATACTGTTCAATAAATGGTGTTTCTAATTCAGAGTAATTTTCATTTGAATGTGCTTTACTGGAGGCATCCATGTTTGTCAAAGAACACTACTGCCACCTAC